TTTCACCTTTAAAAATACGGTACAAACCGTAAAAGTAATTTCTCATTTTTACAGTAATATGCTGTATTTCATTAATTTATAGAGGTAATATGTCTGTATTATGAATTACGAACATCTACACATCTTTAGTTACAAAAGTTAACACAGTCATATGCAGTTGGTGATGAGAAAGTTGCATAATGAACCAATGCTCATCACAAACAACTTTTCCTTTATAAGTATAGTATAGTATAGTAACACCCATAAAATTAAAGTCATGAAATAAACATTGTTTATCAATATTAGATAATGTACATGACTGGTAGGGAAACAACTAAAAAGATCCATATTTATGTCAACAAAAGCATAAAAAGTGATGTGCCATGCTGGGAATTATGGGAAAGTCAATTTACGGGTAATTTACGGGCCGTATTTAACCAGGTTACGGAATTTTACTGTAGCGTTTTTACAGTGTTGAAATCACAGCCAATTTTACAGTGTAGTGTGGAATCTTGCATTTACAGTGTTAGCAAAAACACAGGAATTATTACACTAAAAGTCCTATATATACCACATTTAACTATATTAACTTTTATCTAAATTGCTATTAAACACAAAATGTCATTTAATTTTTTTTAATTTTTCCTTCGTCCACAGGGCTAAAACTGAAAGTTCTCAGAATAAAAAACACCCACAACTGAAGTGCTATTTAAAGACTACAATTTTCCTCCAATCTGTTTCACTTTAAATGATTACTGTAGGGCACGAACCTTTTATTGCTGAAAATTACATCCCACAAGGCAGTCCTTACGGCTACATGACTGTTCTGTAATTTTTTCTCCGACATTTATCTACAGAAGTGACGAACAGAGAATACATATTGAGCCACATTTAAGCCTCCGACAGGACACTTTTTTAAAAAGATTTGTTTGAGCAAGCTGCTAATGGTCTAATCTGATTCAATGGTTTATGCTAAGCTAAGCTAAAAGTGCTCCCGCCAGATCTGGAGATCGGCTGAATGGATACAAAAATAGAAACTCTAGGAGAGTTTAAAAATAAGCCTATTACTATTTTTGAATCCATTCAACCGATCTTCCAGGAGTACTTTTAGCTCAGCTAGCGTAGCATAAATCATTGAATCAGATTAGACCATTAGCATCTTGCTAAAAAAATGTAAAAAAAAAAAAAAAGTTTTGATAATTACAAAAACAATGAAAGTAAGAATTTAATTTTAAAATACAGTTACAATACAGTTTGTAAAGTAATATTTTATGACTCAAATATTACATGAGAGACTCACAGGAGCTTTGTTTACCAAACTAGAAATTACACAACTGGATTTGCATTGTTAACCTTCAGTTAACGTTTTATTGTATTTGTATTATGTTATTAAGTTATTAGTTCTGTCATTCAACATAAATCCGCAGATTTTATTTCAAAATCCTGCGCAGCAAAAGTCCTGCAGACTCCGTCTTGCCCTGTATATCACTAGAAACTAAAATAGTAACTTTATCATATAAAATGGTGAATCAAATTAACCTGTATTACATTAAACTGACTTTGAATCTCATATATACAGGTGAAGTCAGAATTATTAGCCCCCCTTTGAATATTTTTCTCTTTTTTAAGTATTTCCCAAATGATGTTTAACAGAGCAAGAAATTTTCACAGTATGTCTGATAATATTTTTTCTTCTGGAGAAAGTCTTATTTGTTTTATTTCGGCTAGAATAAAAGCAGTTTTTCATTTTTTAAACACCATTTTAAGGTCAAAATTATTAGCCCCGTTAAGCTAATCTTTTTCTTGAGTCTACAGAACAAACCATCGTTATACAATAACTTGCCTAATTACTCTAACCTGCCTAGTTCACCTTATTAACCTAGTTAGCCTTTAAATGTCTTGAAAAATATCTAGTCAAATACTGTCATCATGGCAAAGATGAAACAAATCAGTTATTAGAAATATGTCAAAACTATTGTTTAAAAATTTGTTGAAAAAAATCTCTCTGTTTAACAGAAATTGGGGGAAAAATAAACAGAGGCGCTAATAATTCAGGGGGGGGGGGCGCTAATATTTCTGACTTCAACTGTAAGTTAATTCATTTTAATAAGTTACATTTTTGGGGTGGCAGAGTGGCTCAGTGGTTAGCAGTTGCTGGTTCGAGTCCCGACTGGGTCAGTTGGTGTTTCTGTGTGAAGTTTGCATGCTCTCCCTGTGTTGGCAGTGGTTTGCGGGTGCTCTGGTTTCCCCCACAGTCCAAAGACAAGCGCTATGGGTGATTAGAACAAACTAAATTGGCTGCATTGAATATAAGAGTATATGAGTGTTTCCCAGTACCGGGTTGCGGCCAGAAGGGCATCCGCTGCGTACAACATATGCTGGAATAGTTGGTGGTTCATTCCACTGTGGTGACCTCTGATAAATCAGAGACTAAGCCAAAGGAAAATGAATAAATGAATGGAGTTAAATTGTGATAATTGGCCACATTTTCTTACAGTGCATTTTTCATTAGCCAATTCTCACACAATTTAAAGTAATTATTTTACACTTTCTGCTCTTGTCTAACAAAATCACATCTTAACTAAAGAAATAACACCTCATTTGTCATATATTAAAACGGTTATTTTGAAAACCAACCCCAGTAATAGATTCACAGTGAAATCTCTTGCATTAAAACCATTAGGTGTATCTACAACATCCTATCAAACCTGATAAATATTTAAAATCACATTATTATTTAGTGA